CAGCAGGAATCAACAGCTTCCTCTTGCTGCTTGAAATAAAAGAAAAGCTTTGGATGCTCACGAGCAGCAAACCTACTAAAACAGGCCATGCCATTTCACCTGAAGGAACAATTTCATTATTATACATGCCAATAACTGATTGCAAGAATAACAACAACAAATTAATGGCAATGGGGCTTTTCCTAGGGCCAAAAAAGGAATAAGAGCTCATGTGGTTTTTCTAAGGGCCTCCTATAATTTCGATAACAATTAAACTGGGGTTAGACCAAGCCTTCAGTGAAGTTATAAAATGTTCAAGAACAAAAAATGTTTAGAGAAAAAGAGAGAGAAAAATTCAATCCTACTCAATCCCATAGGCTGTGTAGAAAACACAGTTGCATCCTTATTTATATGGAAATACTTGCAATGTGTGTGATTCAAGGGACATGTCCAATGAACCTAAGAAAATAAGAACAGTAACACCATGAATGAAGGAGGCTCTTGAGAGACAGAAAGGCCAGGTCTCGGGGAATGGGCAGTATTTACGGTATAAGAGATGTTGTTAGCAAGAATGTATGTTTACCTGGATGCTGGCTGTCTGCCTGATGAAACAGAGGTGTCTGATACCCAAAATGTGCTTTGAGACCGTCTGCCTCTGGCGTTGCCTCTGAGTCATGCTCTGCTTCTGTGTCGGCCACTGCTGTGTAAACACCTTAGAGCTCAAGTGGAAATGGCAACATGATTAAGACCATCTTTCTTGCAAATATTTATCCTCTGGGATTCAGCCAGAATTTGTGTTTCTAGGACTATGAAGCTATAGAGGAAAACCTTCCAGATTTTTATCACAAAAGAACAGGGTAGTTTAGGTGATCTCTTTTACCTGAAGCAGGGCAAAAGCAAGTATACTCTAAATTTTCTCTAAATTTTCCAGCATTTAGTTTGGTTTAAGCTCTTCTCTTGCCCCTGAACACTCCAAGTTACTAATCATTTTCTCTCTCTCTCTTCCCTTCCTTTCTGACTTACGCAGCTTCTTCCTAACAGAGCTTTCTCTCTGCAATATCCTCTCCTTGTGTGTTAGCAGAGCCATTTAGAGGGGCGTTGTGAACGCATGAATGCAAGCTGGCTCAGAGGGCAAGTCCTGTAAACACTGCCCGTGGCTTGGGTCCATTTTGCTGGAAGCCAAAGCCTGAATAGCATCTGTATCTTCCAAGAGGACTCTGTGCTCAAGGATAATTTTGTTACTGCTGTTCTTTTTACCACCATCATTTGTTACGCCATGGGGTAATTACATGTCAAGCTTCCTGCATGCATAAGGAAACCAGTGCTTGGAAATCAGTGTGACCAGCAGACCCCCAACATCAGCTCCCCAGAGCTGACAGCCGCCCAAACCCTCCCCTCCTCACAGCCACCAGTACAGATTACAGCAGCCAGCGGGCTACTCCAGGGCCAGAAACGTTATGGAAACCAGCTGGTTTGGGAAACTCGTAAGGAGACCATCGCCCGCAATGCACTGGGGAGGTGCTGGGGAAGCCAGCCACCTTCTCCTCTGGGCTACTATAGGGAGCCAGGTGGCCTGCGGGCAAGCCTCATCAGAGGGTGTTTTAATCAGTGATGATACCAGACACAGGGTTATTGATGTCTGCGACGTCTTTCCTTTTAGGTGAACAAGAACAAAATCTAATTCTAGCCAGGAGACCAATTTTTAACTTGCATATTGCTTGTAAAGAGCCAATAGAGAGGAGTTATGTGGCAAAGGAGGCAAAGAAATGAAGCTAATAACTTGATTGAAATAAAACACCTGGCATGGGATAAGAAAAATCAGCTATCATAGTTACAGAAGTTGCCTGCAACACTGTATGAGTAGAAGGGTGTTGGGGAAATTATCCTTTCATTCCCTGCTGTGCCTTTCTGGTCCCAGTCCTCCTTTCTCAGGTGCAGGTTGCCAGCCGGGGTGTCTGCAGTCCTGGCAGGAGAGCAGCTGTAGGAGCGAGAGACTCCACCCGCTGATGGAGTCATTGCTGCGAGGTTTTGTACCCTCCCCGGTGCAAAACTACCCGCCTTGTATGCAGCAGACCCCCAGCCCGGGGCATGTCCAGCCTCATGCTGATTAAAATTGAATATTCAGCCCAAAGTTGGAGGGAAGCAGCTGCTTTGTGGGTTTCTAAGGCTTTTCTTTGGGAAAAATGAGGATATTCTATGTTTCCTTCCCCAAGTACAGATAGTTATCTGTCTGGATAATGGAGGTGCAAGAGAAAACAACATCTCTCAGGAATTTCAGGAGCTGCAAGTTTGTCGTCGCTGCACTTGTATGAACCTGCCTCTTCATGACTTTTCACAACACCACCGCTGCCGAAACAAGGCCTGACACCTCCTTTGCAGGATACGTGCATGGTTAACCAGCTCTCTTCTGTTCAGGCCAAGAAACAGTCAATTTTCCTTCATGGGAACCATCAGACCAGTGCTACCATCATGCCCTACCTGTGTTCAAACCCCCAGTCTCTCCTGCAAGTGTCTTTGCTTGGTTGTGGGGACCACTTTTTTTACAACAGTACCTTAAAGAAATCTCTGATGAGCTGTCTTCTGGAGGGCATGGAGGGCACGCTTCACCCAGATTAAAGAAAGCCACCTGAGCCAGCATTCCGAAAAGGCACTCTGTGGCTGCAGACTGTGAAAGGAAGCCAAACTAACAGTGTTAAATATTTGTTTGAATGCAATTACTCCTGCACAACTCCTGCTCTACACAAAACATATTCTCTTAACTTGCACAAACCCCCAGAAGCTCCAAGGCAGCTCTAGCAGTAGCATCAAGCCCTACATCACTTTCTGCAATTTGATTTATGTTATTTGTTTTCTTTCTTCTTGCAAACCTACCTAGCTGTTTGTTTAAACTGCTTAGAAGATGCTTCTGTGTGATTTCTTTCGACTTTTCCATGACGCCATACTCAGAACATTTAACAAATGCTAGTTAGCCTTTCCAGGCTTTATCATGTGGCTTGCCTAAAGCAAGAGAAGGGCTTTAGGCAAGGTTAGAAATTCAGGTTTTCCTATTCTCTGGTTCTATACTGAGGTCATAGATTCACACACCTTCCCCTAAGATAAATCAGCGTTCACCTTAATGAACCAACTCCTGTTGTATTTTGACTGTTATAAAACTGGTTTCACCGTGCACAATTACTTAAAAAAAATTATGTTTTCTAGAAAAACTGCAAGGTTTCTGTTATGTACTTGCTGAACTTTATGGACCACACGTAGCTGAACTGTAAGTATTGCTGTGTCCTCTCAGGTCTTTGCTTAGTTTGTTCTTGACATGTACAGATGTGCTGTTGGATTGAAGTGCAGGGGTTTCATTCTTAAAATCACGTTATTAGTAAAGCAGAGATGCTTGAGAGTGATTCTGGTTTGGCATTTGGCACAGCTATTCCTGAGTGAATAAACACAGGCTGCCACTGGTAACCATTTTCATACTCCATTTGAATCTCAGATCAGGCCCACCTGATGTAATTACCTTTTAAAATTCAGCTCGTTTGGTTGAGGGAGGAATTTGAATAACCCATGTGTGTGAGACAGGTTCTAGAGAGTCACACTACTGTAATACTTGGGGCTCTTGCTTTCCCTTCTACCTTTAATCAAGCTTTCTAATTGTCAGCCCCTACATGCTCTCAGCCCTGACCTTGATACACACTCTTGGGGAAGCCTACTAAGTAAAGTAAGTAAGTGATTAAAAATATAAAATGTAGGTCATTTTATTCCTCTTTGAAAGTTCTTAGTTTAATTAACAGAGCTTTTGCTAGACCTTCTTCCTCCTTAGGGTTTTTATTTTTATTTTTAAAACTAGCCAAGGGACTGCAAAGTGCTTACAGGACTAAGAAGTGCTATAATCAAACATTTTCATTTAATTCCTGATTAGCCCAGAGGTGTGTCCCAAAAAGAAAGAAACAATCCTAGCACTTGTGCTTGGTGATTAAAGGTTAAGGATCTTTGGAGGATTTCTGGTTATTTTCTTGAGTTAATGATTGAACATTCATATGTGCCAAATTGCATATGCATTAACTTTAACCTTTAAATCTTTGTCAGACTTATGATTGATTAAAAAACAGAACAGTCATAATGTACTTGATTCAGGTGCTGCATATAAAGCACAATGCTTTTTCATCACCCTGGGATCCAATTTTAAATGCTGAGTAGGATGCTGTGGCAGAAGATTGTTAGGACCCAACACTGTACCGAGCAGCGATTATGGGCCACAGTGAAGCGAGCTGAGGTTATTGTTTGGCACTGGGGAGATTTAGCTTCCCATGGAAATAGCTTCTACTGTCAAGCACCCAGAAGAACATAATAGTCTTTGTTTATGCACCATTTCCTTCAGCATAGACAGGGAAATGAATGCCGATGTGGTCTGCCATTCCTTGAAGCTGTGTAAACAGGATCCAGGACAACCGCTTTGTCACCTCTACCCTCCTCCAAAGGTGAGTTGGTTTTCCACTTTTTTCAAACCTACTGATCGTGGAAGGTCTTTTAAGCTGGAACTGAACAGTACAGATGCTTCCAGTGCACATGCATTGTCTGGGAAATAAAATTTAACATTTTGAACATGGACACTTTTAGAAAATGTCTGTTTGAATGATGGGTACAATAACATGTGTTAGCTGTGTGGACCATCAACAACATGGTTGTCAGAGAGTGGGAATTACAGGGCCAAATTGTCTTGTACCAGTCAGGTCACAGAAGAAGAGGAGAGAAAATAAAATCTCACTTTCTCCAGACTTTATTGTTAAGCAGTACGATAACCCCAAATCTGATACTCAGCTGAGGTTCATCTACACCACCGTGTTACCACGGCATGACAAGTTACCCTCACATTGCCTGATCTGCTGTGGCAGTCTGTGTAGGCAGTTGCTACCTGCTGCAAACCACATTGCCTGATCTGCTGTGGCAGTCTGTATAGGCAGTTGCTACCCGCTGCAAACAGGGCTATTTGACTTGGATTAGTCTGCAGCACAAGAGGTTTAAGCTAACATGCATAATCTTTTGCCGCAGGCTGGAAACCTATTTAGTTACCATGGCTTTTTTGATGTACTGTTACTTGCTGCACCACGGTAACTTGATTGCGTGCCCTAGACCTTTGCTACTTGGACACATACATATCTGCATCGGTCCAAGCAGATACAGTTTGTTTTGGGATTTTTTTGGTTGTGGGTTTTTGGGTTTTTTTCCAGTTATCACACAGCCCCGGTCACACTAAAACGTGTGAGTGATGGTGGTTGTTTGGCAGTGTAGAAAAGCAAGTGATTCACTTGGGCATCTATTTTTGTAAATCTTTTTCCCTGCATCTGGATGGATAAAGACATGTTTGATTTCTAAAGGTTTGCATAAGATGTTTTACACAGGGCCTCATCCAACAGCCATTGAAATCAGTTAGAGCCTTTTTATGGGTTTCAGTGAGCTGTGGTTCATCTCCAAGATGGATTTAGTTCTGCCAATATTAAGACCTGGGGAAACACTTGCCTTCCAAGAACGGCAGTAACATTTGTTTTACAGCAGGTGTGTCCCCCATATGACTACTGTGCTCCATGCTATGCCAACATAGAGATATATAGGTGTGCAACCAGGCAGGGGTGAAGGAAGACAAGTGCAGGCAGCAGAGAGGGCCCACACTAACTTGACTCAACCAGGGTGTTGCCCAAACTTCATCAAATGGGTTTCTCCAGAAATCCTGCATCTGAACTGGTAAAATAGTTCATGGGTCCTTCCACCCTTCCCCAAGGTATATCAGAGCTACCGTATTGCAAGCTCTCCCTTAATAATTGCCAGGTCTTTACTCACCCCACAAACATTTGTGAGTCTCCAGCACTTTCTGCCCTGGTAATTGCATGTTTTTTCCCCTCCCCTGCACTTGTAACAGCAGCAGAGACCCTGTCAGTGACTGTGGGGCCTTTTTTTTTTTTTTTTTTAAATTAGGACTCCTGAAGGTAAAGGTGAGAGTACAGAAAAGGCTGGCAGGCTCACCCAGCCTCCAGAGTATCAGGTCACCCAGGAGGACAGCAGGAGCTGTAGCAATGGTGGCTGCACGTGCTCCGCGCTGCCAGCCCGAGACTTAGATTTTCATATGGACTTGCTTGTGTGGGGGAATAAAGAGAAGTAGAAACCACCCTGCACCCTGACTTCTGCCGGTGGCAGAAATGCAAGGTGCCTCTTGGAGTGAAAGAGGATGCAGGCAACGACCTGCACTTAAAGAGAGGGATGGACTCTCCATGGCTGCACAGTGAGCTAGGCTAACGAGTCTGGAGAGAGGGGCTGTTTAAACTGAAATGGCTCCTGTGCAGAATTTAGAAGATCTGTGGTGAAATGCTTGGCCTATCAACCAGAGGGGACAGGATGCCACCTGTGGGGTTGCTGTCAAATCTTTGGTTAGCTCTTCCCATCTCTCAGAGCAGATGTTGATTCCTTCTACCTCCAGCGACAGCTCCAGCGACTGCACTTTCTGCAAGGAAAACAACTGAAGATGGGTTTTTTTGGTTTTGTTTTTTAAACAAAATTTGGACTCTCATTTGCATGGCCTGGAGACTGTCCCTCTGCGTGAATGGCTCAAGCAAACCCTCTCCCTTCCAAGTGGTAGTTAAATCCCTTTCTGTCAAGGTGTATTTGTTTCTCACCAGGAATAAGGGAACTCTAACAACAAAATGATTTTTCTATCCCGACTGTGCCCTCCTTTTTAGCTCGCCTGGTGCCCTGAGACAGTGTGAGGAGGCTGGGGGAGATGGGAGGAGAAGAGCAGTGCTTAGAGTTCATGCTTAAGTGATTGATAAATTGCCCACAGTAACTCTGTGACAAGTCAGACTGAGTAAAGATGAATTATGGGTGAAAAAAATTAATATACAGTCAGAGACACAGATGCATAAAATGCAGTTTACCTCACATTTGCTTCTTTGGTTTGTAATTTGATTGATCACTTCAGTTATATGAGCCTGCAAATGTTGGCTCAGTCCCCTGCCAAGTGTTTGAACAAGACTTTAATACTGATGACTGTTTTGTTCAACTCTATTGATTTTCAGGTACTTCGTTTATTCATTTAGACTTCTGGATGCCCATTTTCCCAGAATTAGTATCATATTTGTACTGGCGAAGGGAGTAAAATAAATATAGAGTTATTTGCCCTTATAAGGCAGTATAATGTTCAGGTTTTAATTGCCTTTAAGGTGGCAAATATCAACATGTAGCTGCTTTTTCAGTCAATAGTTCATTTTGTTCTGTTGCTGTGATGTTGCTCTAGTGAGACTGTGTGTCTCAAGGAAGGAAGAGCCCCTGCTTCAGAGGGCTTGCAAACTATCTACATAATGGCAACACTGCAAGCTGAGTAAATGATACGTGCGTTATATTACATACTTCCCTGGTCTCTGACAAATTAGCCCAAATTAATTTTTTTGCCAACCTGCCTGGAGCCATTAGCACTCTGTGATTATTCTAGGAGACTTGGCTCTAATTATGAATAAAAAATATTGCTCCGTTCGCACGGAGCGCAATGCTCTCTGCGCAGAGCTGAAGGAGGAGGGCTTCTAACCTGGGCGAGGGCGGCTCCGTTGCGGGGGCTCCCCGGGGGCTTGGGCGAGGTGGGCTGCCCCGCTGGTGGGCAGTTTCAGGAGCAGACCCCTGATGTTGGTGGGGAAGAGTGAAAGGGGCACTCGTGGATCACCAGCATGGCTGTGCGAGCAGATGTCACTCGTAATGGGGTCCTGTGAGCCCCAAGAGCAAAGCCTGGGCCCGTAGAGGAAAGCGGCCCGTAGAGCAAAGCCTGGGCCAGGGCTGGAAGTGCAGGTAGATGTGCACGCATAGGCTTTCCCACTGCATGTTTCTTGCCCCACGAGAGGTTCTCCTCTACCCTTAGTATGAGGGTAGCAACACTGGGGACTCCTTCAAGTCAAGAGGCAAAATAATACGGCGCATCAGAAGGCTTACCACAGGTAGCTGAAAACTGGGCAGTATCTAAAGCTATAGTAATATGCCTTGTGGTTTAACTACATCAACAGCAGATACTCTAACATTGGCTGCAGCACCGCTCCAAAATGCTGACAGTGGGTACAGGTATCTAAGCTAGCTGGTTTAGGTCGACTGGATACTTTTTTAGTCAAAAAGGTTTATCAGCTCACATGGCGGAGGACTTTCTGCACGAGGTCCTGTGATACAGGAATGTTCCTCTAGCGAGCGAAAAGGGCTGAAATAGGTTGAGGGTTTTTGAGCACTGCCTACCAAGCTCCCCTTCTGGCCCCAGGAGCAAGCAAGTTTGCAGGAGATTACTCTCAGCTTGTCTCTAGATTGTTTTAAGCCAGCTGGCCTGTTCAGTTAAATGGCAATACTTTAATTGATTTTGTTGGGGCCAGAATAATGGCTCAACTTCAGCACTGGAGCCCTGCTGCTGGCAATCGCTTAAACGGTCTGTGTTGAAAGGAGCTTGTACTCTTCTTTCTGCCTTTCAGGGTGCCTCTTCTGCTCCCCCATCACTTTTCTCCTCCAGATTATTAGAGACCTTGTGGCTGCAGATCTTAGCTTAATCTGCAGTAGTAGGATTTTGCTGGGAGTCATCTTATGGCAGCAAAAATATACATATTTACGCTGATGTCATTTTATCTTACCAAAATAAGCTTCATTGCCACAAGCGCTCATGCTGGTTCATGTCCCCTCTATCAGGCTTTCACTGACTTTGTAAAAAGCAAAAGCCACATCCCTCATGGACATTACTGTGTCCAGCCTGCTCTTTGACAAAGTAGGAGCCAACCAATTCTGGCTGGAAAAAAGAAACCCTTTGGGGTTTCATAAAATAAAAATGCTCCCGCTATTTTCTCTCATTCCTCTCTCTCTTTCAGTGAAAATGTGATCTGCTTCCTGGGAGGTGAGGCAGAACCAAACTCCAGGGCAGGAGTGCTTCTGCATTCCTGGTAAGAGCAGGCTGCCAGCCCAAGGTAGACCTTGTGGCTGGGACCCGTTTCCTTCTTTTGAGACCACGGGCTGTAAAGCAAGCATCTGGGAGGCAGGCTAGGTCCTGGGGAGCAAGATGCCCTCCTTTTAGCCTTTCTTTTTGGAAATAGGTAAAATCTACTGAAATGTGAGTTGTTTCTGCTGCAGTCAGAACTGAGCCCTGAAGAAACAGCCTATAGATGAGCGATAGCAGAAGGCACAGTTTGAGCACTAGTTCTTCCTCTTTCACTTGTTTCTCACCATTTCCCCTGCTCCTCTTCATTGGTAGAAAATAAAATGCAAAACCAATACCCAACCAAAAAACCAAACCACCCCAAAAAACCAAACCACACAACCCCAACCTTCCACCAAATAAACCCAAAGAAAACAGGGTGGCATGAGGTTTGCAGGGTGCTGCGTGCAGCTGTGTTGTACCGATGCAGAAGCTGCCCCAGGCAGGACCCCTGAAAACAAGTCTCGGGCGACCCACGGGCACGGTGGCATTTGGGGTGGAAGGCTGGCAGACAAAAGTGTGAGGGCAAGGAAGTGTTGCTCATGGATGCTGACTGTGTTTTGCAGAGGCAAGCTAGAAAAAGTAAATCAAAATGTTTCATCCAGAGCACACAGACTCCAAGTCCAAAAGAAACAAGTGGTGTAAAATTAGCCGAAGTCAGAGTAATTGCCCTGGCAGGAGAAAAGGCCGAGTCAGGCTTCACGTATTTTAGATCTGGGCTTGCAGGGAAGGTCCCTATTTTTCATCCAGAGCACATATTGTTTGGCCTGGCTGTCCTGTGCAATCATAAAGGTTCCCCCTACAGCCTCTGCAGGATGAAAGGTGGAACTTGTAGAACAAATCCCAGTTTTGCCAGTATCGTTTAACAAGCTTTGCAGAGTTTTGGTACCTTGGTATGCATACTCCTAGTAAAAGGATGATGAAAATGAGTTAGAAGGGAAACTTGGAGTGTTTTGTAAATATCTTCTCTCCTGGGAAAGAGCTGGCTAACAAGGGTGATAAATGAGAGAGAATTAGAGTTGGTTCATGCGTTTGCTTATGATGAGAAATAGATCTATTTGCAAAAAATTAATTACTGGGAATATATGCACTCTGTGGAGAGCATTGAAAGAAGGCAGTGAATGAAATCCCAGTGACCCCCCTGCCCTCCGCCCCATCCATGCTGCGGTTATCTTGTGTTCGCCGGGCGGCAGGGCTGTGCCGGTTTGGGCGGATGGGGCTGGCTGCTCCCCAGGGCCTCCGCACACCCTCCAGGCAGCGGCTGCCAGTTCATCCATCAGCTGCTGCAGCCTAGGAAGCCCCTTCCTCGGCGGAGTTTTCATGCCATGGGAAAGAGGGGAGGCTGCTTGCTGGCCGAGTTGTAGCAAGAGAGGTTGTATGGGCTATATGGCCTTCGGTGGCAGCCTTGACATGCTGGTGTCAACCAGGGATTACAGGTGACCCGTGAAACCGAGAGTGTTTTCTCCCGGATGGGTGTTTCAGCTGCCAGTCCTCCGCAGTCCACCCCAGAGTCCTGGCTGAAGTAACTTCTGCAACAGGAGAAGATCTCATCCTTAGCATTTCAGAGAGAGCATTTTCTACATGCGGGAGCAATTCAGCTTTTCCTCCCTTGTTTTCTGCTTTCTATGTGCAATATTGCTTTAGCTGTCTGAAGCGTGCGTTTCTCATGCTCTGTTGCTGAGAGCAAGAAAGGTCTCTCCTCCCCTGCCCTGCAGAAAGGGGTTGATAAATCCTACTTCTCTGGAAATCTTTCATCTATCAAACTCACTTTTAAGCCATTTTCCTCATCTGTCTCTCAAGTTATTTTATTGCAGAAATGACAGCAGCTAGTAACGTACAACATAACTATGGCAAATGCAAGATGCATGTTTGATTTTGGGGACAGCAGTTGCCCAGGGGGAAGAAACTAGGAAACAGTGTCTTGGCTCATTCCTAGCATCTTTCATCTATTTGTGACATACACAGATTTTTATAAGACTATAGACACAATGAATTAAACATATATTAAGCACATATATTAACACGACACATATATTAAAAACCAATAACTTAGAAGTCTGTGTTCCTTGCTGCTTATGCTTATTCTTTTATTCTTCCTTATCCCTTTATATTGTTCACTATAAATTTTTGACCCTTGAATATCACAGTTAATTATTTGCTTTGATCACTGCCTAAATCAATTATAATGACATGCTAAATTTTATCCTCAGTAAAAAACTGTTGATTGCTTTAAATGCAAATATATGCTGCTTTAATATTCCAAGCTGGCATGCCTGATGTTCAGTAAGGTGCCATCACTCGAGGGATATTTTGGTTTTTTCCAAATGCTTTAATACTACCACTTGGCAAAGCATACTTTTTTCTCCCCATGTTGAGTTCCTGTAGCTCTAGCCAGATAAATATAAACTTGTGCTGAACTTTACCTTGGAGCCCTCAGACCCGAGGTGTTAAGCTAGCAGTTATGTCCTTAGGCTAGGCTATAGGAGGGACTGATGGCAGGTCATTGTCAGACAAAACAGTTTGTTCTCGCTAAAAATTTTGATCAGAAACTAAGTGCTAACGTGTTTGTGGTACACCGGATTTTTCTTTCCATTTGAAACATTTTCAAAAGTAATTGATTTTTATCTCGTTTTTTTTAAGTTTTTTTTTTTTTTTACTGATCCTCAAAGCCTACAGAGCAAAAGCAGTTATTCCTTCTGAAAGAGGACAAATGGGCAGTATTTTCAGCCTTCTTCATGCTGAATGCTGAGAGGAAGGACAGAGGCCATCACACAGATACTGCCTCACAGATATGACTGTTTGCAAAGGTGGCCTGATAAATGCCGGACAACATGTGGGAATTATCATCATTGAGATGGAAGAATATTGTCCAAAAGTGAAAATGGAGCAGCAGGGGGGAGCATGCTGGTATTACCCTGCCAAAAGCAAATGCTTTTGCCTGAAGTTTGCACCCAAGTCTGCAAGCTGAGCTCATCTCAGGGGCACTCAGGAACTGGCTGTCTCATGAGCAGGGCACCCATTGTACAAACTTAAATCACCCTCCCAGACCCCTGTGACTGTCTCTTTTTTTTTTTTTTTTTTTTTTAAATTAAAGTGGTGAGATCTTCTTTTCCTATGGGAAGATGTGGCTGAATTTAGAAAGTGCTGATCATCAGAGTTGTTAAACAGTTCTTAAACATTTTGGACTGCATGAGCATACCTGAAGCATCTCCTCACCTCCATGACTGGGAAGAGTCCTTGTGGCAGGAAACCCAGTGTGGTCCTCCTGTGCTGTGATACGGGACAAATTCCTTAAGGCCAGGGGTAAACGCTTAACAGCACGGTGCAGAAACAGTCCCTGCTTACTCCCCATGCCTCAGCATTTAGCCAGGCAGGACCCAGGGCTGTGGACCAGGTCGGCTGCAAAAATGTATTGATTGCGGTTTTTGCAATGGCAGAGCCTTGTGGAAGGCTGGAGAGCAGGACCTCGGCAGTGCTTGGCCGTGGTAAGTGGCCGTCGGTGTGCGATTGACCACAGCCCTGCTGCACCACACACGGCACATCCGTCCTCCTGTTCCCAGCAGTGCCGGTGCCTGTCTGTCACTCACACTCACGGATGGTGCCCTTGCACAAAATTTCCTCTCCTCCTTTGAGAAGCATGTGTGTATTGGGGTATCACCAGTAGTTGACTTCTTTGTTACCCATGGCCTTATGATGGCCAACCTCTTCTCCTTTGATAAGGACGCCTTTCCAAGGTGTTTTGTTGCAATACTTCTCCCACTCTTCTTTTCTATTTAGGTATATGTATTGTGGAGGAATCCCAAAATGCTTCTTCAGCACAAGTTTGCATGTACCCAACAGAAAAACAATCTTGCCACTGTCACCAAGAACTTGCCCTTCAGGGCAGGTATTTCCAGAACAAAAAACTAACCTTCCTAGATCCTAAGCAGGATATTTGCCTTCCAAACTATTCCCTGCTTTGTACCTTCCCATGCACCAGCTGTTCCCCTGCTGGGATGAACCTCAGCTGAGTATAACCCTTATCCATGCAAGACCAAATGTTTCTTTTGCACACTTCTACAGCAAGTCAGACCGACATTGCACAGGTAACCCTCTTTTGGCCATCTAATGGATGAGTTGTTCTTCAGCAGGGGTCACTGGAGAAGTCTGTCCTCCGCAGCTCACACAACGCAGTCAGGATATGAATCTCAGCTCTCCGACTGATCTGGACTTTTCCTTAAGAAATAAATGATGTCCTGGAGCAAAATAAATGAACTCTTGCAAATGGAGTTTCATAGGGGGTGATTGGATAATTGATTGTTAGTCCAATAAAAAGTAACTGATGATGAGTTTGTGGACTCATACATAATTTTTGTGCTGTGACTGATATATTTTAAAAAAAAAGGTAGGAAATGGGGAGAAAAATTGGTAGGATACTGTGAGGTTGATCTGTTTCTTTTTTTTATTTTGTTCTTGCCCTCCTAGGTGGGGCTGAGTACTGCAATAAGAAAAACAAAAAGGATGATGAAGACTTCCAAGGACCTGGTAAGAAATCAGTGTCATTGGGGTGTTTTACACTGTACTTGCATTTTATCAGGAGTGAGTCCTCGCTTATATTATGCCTGATTGTGAATCTACCTAATCAACATTGAACTGAATGTTGACTCACTCCTATCTGGTATAGGATCTGCTCTATCAGGTGACACTGGGTAGAAGGAGAGGGAGATAATAGAAAGGAAATATGAAAGTATGGGGAAAGCAGAAAAAAAACTCATGAAAAATACAGGCTGCTTGCAGAGTAGGGATAACTGTCTGTATCCATCCAAGACATAAATTTATGTCTGAAATTCGTGCAGCAGCTGCGGATCTCATCTATGAGCTCCATAGTTCAGCTTCACACCGAGATGTTTGCTTGTACTAGTCCATGTCATGGTTTAACCCCAGCCGGCAACTAAGCACCACACAGCCACTCACTCACTCCCCCCCAGTGGGGTGGAGGAATCAGAAGAGTGTAAGTGAGAAAACTCGTGGGTTGAGATAAAGACAGTTTAACAGGTAAGGCAAAAGCCGCACACACAAGCAAAGCAAAACAAGGAATTCACTCACTGCTTCCCATCGGCAGGCAGGTGTTCAGCCATCTCCAGGAAAGCAGGGATCCATCACATGTAAGGGTTACTTGGGAAGACAAACGCCATCACTCTGAACGTCCACCCCTTCCTTCTTCCCCCAGCTTTATAAGCTGAGCACAACGTCATATGGTATGGAACATCCCTTTGGTCAGTTGGGGTCAGCTGTCCTGGCTGTGTGCCCTCCCAGCTTCTTGTGCACCCCCAGCCTACCCGCTGGTGGGGTGGTGTGAGGAGCAGAAAAGGCCTTGACTCTGTGTAAGCTCTGCTCAGCAGTAACTAAAACATCCCTGTGTTATCAACACTGTTTCCAGCACAAATCCAAAACATAGCCCCATACTAGCTACTCTATCCCAGCCAAAACCAGCACAGCCCAACTTGCCTTTGGTGGGCCAGCCAGCCTTAAAACAAAATACAAGCAGGTATAGATTTTGTCTAGATTTCTTTACAAAAGCAGGAATTTCCCACTCAGCCTTGCTCTGTGTTTTTCTATCCAGAGAAGCTTCCTTTCTTCCTTCAAACTTCTTGCAGTGTTTATTATTGCCCCTCCTTGTTTCATGCTTCTTCCTTGTCCCTTATCATCCCTGCCTTGCCCTTGTAGCTGTACGTAAGAGGGAGCCTCATGAACCGAGCCACTGCCTCAGAGCACAGTGACTGGACTGTGGGGTTGTCTGAAACTCAAGCAATGGCCTGAATGCAAATTCTAGATATTTTTCTTTTATTTGCGAGAGGCTGCCTTTGCCTCTTAAACTTGAAAACTGGGATTTGAAATCTTTCTGCCTCCTCCAGTTTTCAGATTTATAGAGGATCTCTAAAGGGTAGCAGAGAAGGGAAAGGCAGCTTTTATTCTGCTCGGTTCGCTTATATGAGTCAGCTCAGCCATAGAGTTTGCTTCCAGTTGTCTTCAGGCACTTAATGCAGAGCAAATGTTTTAGCTGTTTGTGAAGAAATTATTGATACTGCTTCTTCCTGAATCCTTACTGTGATGCTACTCACAGAAGTGAAAATTGAGGTGCCTAATTAGCCTTTGGGCAATTACCAAATTGCCAAGCCAGGGAAATAAACAATGTGCTGGAGAGACGGGTCTCAGCTCCCGCAGAACAGCAACCAGCAGGATCTTATTCATTTTCCTTCCTATTCAGTGCTGTGCTACTGATGGCCTGAGACTTCCGCTCAAATTACATGAAATTTCTAATCCCCTTTCCCCGGGTCCAAGTCCTCACATGAACACCTGCAGCGAGTTGCTCTGAGTCAAGGAGGTCCTCTCTGTTAGCCAGAGCCCGGGTGCGGGTGCGGGGATGAAGAGGGATCAGCGTGCAGGTGCTGTCCCTTGGGACACAGGGCTCCTTTGCTCCCTCGCATGTTCTTCCACCCTTGGCATATCGGGCTGTGTCCCTTGCATGGCTGGCCCCATCTAGCCTTCATGGGCCATGCACGCCACATCTTTTCAGGCTCTCCTGGGTAGGGCAGCATGGTTGGCATCAATCTTCGGGTGCAGTGGGGTCTCCTTCCAGCTTGCCTCTACTCTCCCACATCCTCAAAGCTGCCTAATGCCCAGATACCTCTCTCAACCTCCATTGCACCCGTGGCCCCTTCCTGCACCTAGTTGCCCATTTACCAGCAGGAGGGACAAGCAAACTGTGCCCCGGCTAGAAGCAGCAAGGTCATAGTTGGGTTTCTTCAGTCAATGTATTTCTAAACCTACGTAACTGCACAGTACAAGGTCAGCTCAGATTAAAACAAGTATCATGTGGTTGGCTGGCCCTCTCCTGCAGTTATTCCTACCATGTTCCCTGTAATGACCCTTGCTGAAACTTCTTTTAAAGCTAGAAAATTAAAAATAACAACATTTCTAGAGGCATTACTGTATCTCACAACTTCCCCTTCACCCAGATTGCAGTTAATTTCATTTAAAATCCAGAAGAACAATGTAGTAAGGAACACAAAGTAAGATCTCCAGGAGAGAGCACAGCGTGTATCACGCTTGCAGAAGCCCCATATCCCAGGGAAGCAGCATGTGATGAAATAGTAAGAAAATCACCTGCACAATCTGAACGCTGCCAAATCATGGTCTGTTCACCTGCCCAGGCAGATACACGTGCCGGTGAGCAAAGGCCACAGCAGCTGAGGTGCTCTCGCTGCTCGGGGAGAGGGTTGCCTGGCTGAATGTGTGGGTGAGGATCCAGAAACTCCCTGTCTGTGGTGGGACATCTGTGCATCCACACCGGTGGAGAGAGAAAAACATTCACCTGCTCTTTTTTATGCTCTGGCTAATGCTGCACAGAAACATCAAATTATATCTCCTCGTTCTTCCCATATCTGCTATTTTGGTTGCTTTTGCTCCTTTGCATGTTTGGGGAAAGCCTTCTGAAGAGGTTCTTGCAAGTTAGCTGTCCCCATCTTTGCTTGGCAGCTGTGTGTGACTGTGCATATAAAAGAGGTGTGATTATGGCTCTTGGTAATGAGAATGGGAGGTCTGTCTGGCTCCCAGGGGTTCGTATTTACTGGGCATTTCTTAGGATCATTGTGGGTTTGGGAAAAAGAAGAGGTATTTTCCAGATGTAGAGATGCAGTGAAAGTGGCTACAACCCAAAAAAATCTAATAAATGTCTCCATTCATTAAAAGTAGTGAGCCATCTGTGAGCGACTGGCTTAAACCAAACACCAACAAGCATTAGGGGTTCATTATTATTCTTTTTTGTAAAACCAATTAAAATAATTACAGAAATGTCATTAGGGAATGTTAACGGGCAATGAATAAAATATTGGTGTTATCAATCACTGTGAACACCTCTAGCACTAACTTTTCTTATGGGTGGAAAAGATACTAAGAGGCATCTTTGAGCAATAGCAGTGAAAGAATGACAGAGTCATGGCTGTAGCATTTAATGAGAGCAAGCACCGTGCGTACAATCCTGTCATGACTACATGGTCCCTGCAAATCACAGCCTGGCAGTGGGAGAAGTGGGAAGCCATGGAGGGAGCCAAAAGGGAATTGCAAGGCAAAGGGGAGCATGAACCAGTCTCCTGCCCACCCACTCATGTTACGCAGGGGCAAGTAACCCATCTCCTCGCAAAAACACATACTGCAATCGTAGCCTGGCTCTGCTGGGAAGGACCCTGTAGTGCCTGCTCACTTGTGCGCTCTCTCACCTACACATGCAAAGGTTATCCCGTTTTTTAACCCTGTGCTCCTTGCTGCCTTTTGAGAGTAGACCAAGATACCCTCAAAGAGCAGATGAGCTGCTCTCCTGCACACCCCCAAGCAGAGCCGAAGCATTACGTCCGGACCTCACTGTCCCACGTGCCGTGGGGATGCATGGAGGCTGGGGAGCCAGAGGCTGCTGTGCTCTGGGGCGCTGCTGCAGCTGGTCCTCAAAGCCCAACTCAACATCGCCCATACCACTTCCAAGGGCACCATCATGCCAACCATTCCCACCAAAGTTAGGCAATTTGGGGGGCTGCAGGATAGTCTTCCTTTGAAACTAACAGAGATCCAGTCAGCAACAATTTTCAAACGACTAGCTGAGAAAAAGCCAGGAAAGATTTTATTTGACTTACAGCAAAGGGTAGACTTTAAATGCAGCCTGCGAGCACAATGAAAGAAGGTTTTTATTTATGTATTTATTTCTTGCAAGTTTGTCTTTCTGGTGCAGTTTTGGCTCCAGACGCCCTAACTTCAAAGGCTTTGCATGCTGTGACTTAGGCTGAAGTGAAAAGCCGACAGCTCAAATGAAGACGCTGCAAATCTTAGCCTGATGGAAAGTTTTAAGAGCCTCTAGTGCTTTTGTAGGCAGTGCTGGGATTAGTCCTATATGGAGGAGATGGGGGAAGTGGTTTCTTTCCTCTTTCCAGGAAGGCGTACATAGGTTTGCAAAGCTCTCTGAGAAAAGCTGGCATCCTGCTTACGCACCTCTCATGCTCTCTGCCTACTGGCCATACACGCGTGTGCACACACAGAGAGCAAAGAGGAGCTCTGCATCCCTGCCGTGCTGCAGGACGTAGCCCCGAGGCTACAGAGAGCTTAAATACAGAGGTGCAGAGGGACGGGGAAGAGCGCAGGGCAGTTGGAGCCATGGCAGTGGGACAAGGTTGGTCTTTCAGCTCAAGGAAAGGCCCCACTCCCTGGCTGCTTTTGGCCATTTCTATCCACTTCTTCTCTGGTTGTGTTCTGGTTTCTCCTTTGACTCCACCAACACTCCCTCCGCTTCATGGTCCCCTCCAAACCGGTGCGACTCCAGCCTTGTCATTTGAGTGTGTTGGACAGAGCTGAAGAGAGTTAATTGGTGGGGGTTTTTTTGCAGATTTCTTGTCTCTTAGACTTTCCTCCTTTTTTTCTCCTTTGATTTCTCTATTGCATCCTTCAGAAAGTGCACTGTTACAGCTCCACCTCCACTGCAGGTCTCCCCCAGAAGGTACCAATCTTTTTCATCTTCACCTTACTGCTTGGTCACTTCAGCCACCAGTGCAAATGTCAACTACCGTCTTTGTACTCGGGGATCTATCCCCTCTTCACTACCCCAGCCCTCCTCTCCACATGGAGATCCTGGCCATGACATATTGCTGTGGCTGACCTCCTGCTCTGGGCAGCGCAAGACCCTCATCTCCATCACCCCTTGTTATCTGTCTAAGCAAACACCTTCTTGCCTTCCCTGGAGCTGCAGGGCAATGCCCTACGCACCGCGGCACCACTGCCTCACTGCCCTGCAGTGCTGCCTCAAAGTTCTCCTTTGTCATTCAGAGCTTTATATGCTGGGGTTACTGCCCCTCATGGTGATTAATAGCTTTTCATTGTCCTCTCCTGAGCTGTATCCAACCTTTATCTTCTGTTTTATGTTAGATTTGGGTTGTAATCTCATTAGGGCAAGGACCATCTTTTTTTTTTTTTTTTTCTGTGTATATGAAGTGTGTAACACAAGGGATTTGGTCTAAAGACAGAGCTCTTAAGTGCTATGGCCATATAAATAATTACCCTTCTTTGCATAAAGTTATGAGTATGCCTGTCTGCTCATCTGCTCCATATTTACATGCTGAATGCAGCCTTAGTGAATACAGTTAATTAGACTGTGAACCAACTAGCCCTCTGTATTTATAAACTACTTGAATGCCCTCAGTGTTTAAAGACCACCTGAACTTACAGTGAAGCCACATGAGCAGCACGTTTGTGGGATTGATTGCCGATGCAGCGCAATGTTTCTGTAACTTGAACATTCATTAGGAAGGTCTCTTTTGGCTTCTGAAGCCTCCTGGCTACTTGGAACCTCAACTGGATTGGCCAACTAATGTTGAAAGAGTTTATCCTGCAGCAGCCGTCTTTTACAGCTTGCAGGTCTGGCCAAGATAAAATCTAGTTATGAGATTTCCAGGTAAAAATCTCATTAAAAAATCAAGGGCTTTCTATGCCCATGCTGGATCCTCCCATTTCACCTCTCTTTGGGGTTGTTCCTGATCTTTGGCTTATCCATCCCTTCCCGAGCGTGCAGAAACCAGCCTCATGGCCCACAATGTGTTGCTTTCACTAGTTTCACACTAAGTGTCAGATACCATCATGTTTATCAAACATGAGAACAGTAATTTTTACAAAGAATGAAAAAAAACTTGGGTACATGAGAGGAGACAGGAGAGTTTCACAGAAGTTTCTTCATTCCTTTTTAATTTTACAGCTCTTTGAAAGCAGGAGTAGTTGGTTTGTAAAATATTCAGTGGAAATCCTTAAGTTGACTGCTGCGTCAGGCCTAAATTCTCTGGAATGTAGCATCCTTAATAGCGTCATTGGAGTTTCAGATGTTTCTAGGCAGAAAATACATGATTCAGCTCTGGACTTTACTGACACTGAATATCCCAAGCCACGCCGGCTCTATGAACTAATGCATCCATCTTCTTTTATTTTCTTCCTCTCCAGAAAAGCTTCACGGGATTCTCAAGTGTATGTGCATTTCCTCTTCTGGCTAACCTGTGTGAGAAGATTAAATAGTATGTATAAAGTTTTCAGTCCTTAACCAGAAACAGAATACGGTACATTTGTTTCTTTCAAAAATCATCCTCAAGTTAACAAAACTTCCTATACTTTACTTCTGTTGGTTTCCTTCATAAATCCACTGTCCAGGTAGCATAGAGGGAGGTTGCACAGAGTCCAGGTAAGTAAGATTCCTCAGAGGGATCCCTGTGCTTTTTCAGTACTTAAAATATTTGCATAATTTTAGCAGGTCCCAGAGGTCAAATAAACGACACACACAAAGATATGACACCTAGAGGGAGCAGTCAATTTTCTCCTGAGATTTCCTGAGCCCAGGAGACTTCTCCATTTAATTTGTTCACCCAGTTGTGGTGCCCATGGCTGAGCGCAGGAAGGCCACCAGCACCTATATAACTCTGTAAAGAACATGAATTAAGTGGCAGTTGCAAAGTGTAGGAGAATCTCAAGGTATTTAAGAAAGTCAGGTGGATGGCAGACAGGAAAAACAACTTATGACAGTGCTGACTTTGAGTCAGTTTCTGAGAAAGGCGCGGACATCAGCTGGCCTATTACTTCTAAAACATTTGTCAATGTACTCCAATGAGTTAGAGTCAAGCAAATCTAAGAATAAATCAGTATTATCAGCAGTATATTTTGACTGATTTGACTGCCAAGACTAACTTGCTCACCTATTTCTGCTCATTTAATTGAAACTGCAAATATCAGGAGTTTATTGGGAATGGATTGATTAACATGAAACATCTTGTAAGTGACTTTGAAATCTAAGTCAGGAACAAATAGTCTGAGTTTGAGCCCTGTGAGTTCAGACAGTGGAAGCAGGAATCAAATTGTATGTCATATGTTGGGTCAAATGTGTTCAACTCTTCTGATCTCTCTCGCATGCACTCTCACTCTCTTTGGTTTTTTCTTTCTTCTTTCTGTAGCTAAAAAAACATGTTTGGCAGTTGGACTTTTTTAGCTCGTCTGGATCTGTGCCAGTTCCTCACAACTGAACCTTACTGCAGAGAAGAAGTAGCCCAAAGCAGCACGTGGAAATTATTGATTACAGACAGAATAAGGGTTACAAGCCTCACCAGGAGCGCATGTCACCTGTCTCCTCTGTACTTTTTCTTATCCTGATGCTCATGCAGTCTGAGGAATCCACCCTTATTGCACCTATTTGCTCTCTGAGCCAGGTTCAACATTTCTTATGAGTTCAAGCGGTTAGAAAAACTGGGAAAGAAAACTTTCCAAGGAAAAGCTGACTAGCATATCATTCAAAAAGTGCTGCCTGCTGAGCCAAATATGAAAGGCTGCTCAATGTAGGTGAGCTAAGCTGTGTCCTGTAGCCAAAGAGAGGTGCCACACTCGGGCAGCACCATGTGAAGGCTAGCACACGTCCAAGCTAAAAAGGAAGGGGCACAGAGCTGACACCATCATTTTAACACCTGCTTCAGGCACTGCTAAAACCTATATGGTTGCTGGAAACAAAAGTCACAATGGAAAAAAAAAAGGTTAATGTAATTAAGCACTGTGGGGGACCACTGAGGGCTCAGGTCTCCATTGCTCAAATCAAGGTAAAGTACTTTTCTCAAATATGTTTGAGCATGGCCAGAAGTTTGTGGGACTAGATACAGAAATTGCAAAATGAGGCTGGGATCCTCAGATAAAGCATAAGGCCACCTGTGAATTCAGTGTGTATGGTCCTCCTTTTACCCTATAAAATAAGAATATTATTTTGTGTGTGTAGCTGCAGCCTGGTATGCAAACTGCAAGTCTTCTAGACTGAACACAACAGGAGAGGGACAGTGTAAAGACTTGAGGTATGAATATGAGAAAGGGTATTTGTCATTTGTTTTTAACAAAAGGAGGTTAGTCTCCATCAGCATGAGGCCCCATTCTGCAGTTCTTTCCCAGGTAGAAGGGCTTCCATTAATATTTCATATCTGGCAGATTTGCAAGATCTGCCAGGCTGAGTGTAGTATTTATTTCAAAAAAATTTTACTTTTTACCACAGCTTTGATGTCCTAGTTTGTTTTAGAGACTGAAGGTTCGACATTGCAGCCATACAAGAGTCCATCAGCCTCACCTCCAGAGCTCAGTCAGCAGACATTGAAAGAAATCAGAATTTGCTCCTTCAGACAGAATCACTTTGCTGAAGTACAAGCACAGAGCTAAAACTGAATACAGAGCCGTGAACCACATGCCAGCTATCATCTATTCTGTATGCTTTACCGTGTTTTTTTTCTTTCTGAATAGGTTCCCTTCCATATGTTAACACTGCGTTTGTTGGTTTTGTTTTTTACAGTGTTATAAGAAATAAGCTGCCTTTTGAAGATTTTGATGGAGATAAATTTAGTACTTTTCCAGTAAGCAAAGCCTTTCCTTTGGTACAGTAATCCCTTGATAATGAGAATGTCTATGGGATTCCTCCTACTTTCTGCAAAGTCTTATTCATTCATGTGAAAATAGGTATAGGAATGAAGTGAATGGAGGGGTTTTTTGTCGTAAGAGGTGGGGTTTTTTTCTGGATGAAAAAACAATCATTCATTTATGCCACCTGGGGAGATGCACACATAAAGCTGTGCTCCCTGCAGAAGCAAATTGCTCTGCTGCTGAGTGGTCTGTTTACTGAATTAATAAGAGGTGAAGTGAAGTCATATAAAAAAACAAATTAAATTGCCAGCTTGTCTTATTTCTGCACCAAAGTGCGCAACGTGTCATTTATTAAAGCTTAGCAAAGGGACACTGGAATACAACCCATTTACTGGGCTTTATTCCTACACCTTGAGTTAGATTCTCATTTTAGATATTTTAAATTAAAAGTGCAAGAGTAACAATGACCATCCTATCTGTGTGCTTCTCCTGGCTTTTAGACATTGAGGGGCTATCACTGGCGAGGCAGAGACTGCAATGACAAAAACACCACCGTGTACCCTGGCAGACGGTAAAGCTTTTGATTATTTTAAAAGCTTCCTAATAATTGTGGCTTCTTGAAGAACGAGCTCCATATTTGGTTTTGACCATACTCTAAGAGAGCACGTCACTGCTCGTTGCTTGATTTCACTGTGATGGAGACAAGAGGGGATGATCGAGCCCAGGGATGGGGAGCATTAGCTGAGGTGATGCACAGGTTTCTTTCCTTTCTCTGAAGCTTCTGCAGCCAAAATTGGTCAGACAGACCAGAGGTGGGGAGGGAAACCAAGCGATTGAGGCTTACAAGCCTTATGCCACTTGAGTTGATGTGGGTTGTGCCTGCTTTAGGGAGCAGCAGGGTGGGAGGGCAAAACAGTGGTATTCGTGACTGGCTGCTGAGCTCCAGCATCCAATCCTCACGTTACATTGGTGGGAAAGTAGAGCTAAATATGTGCCCTTCTAAGTGAATATCTTCTAGGTGAATACTTCCCAGCTGCCTGAGCATGGACTTCCATGCACACCTGAAACAGAGAGCACAGCCGGTCGTAACAGCATGGCTTTGGTCCCTTGCTCTTGCTATTTTATCCTATGCTCAAAGTATTCTTTCAAAAATAGAGCTCTCCTCTGCCATGCGTTTGTTAAGAAGTTGTTAACCAGGACTGCTTTTAAAGCCTAGGCATTAACTAGCTTGTGACTAGATAAGCTGAGTTTAAGGGTGTGGGCTTGGAAGAATCATGTGCCAGCAGCCTGGGCAGCACACCTGCATTAGCAGAAGTGGGCTTACAGGGTCCCTGTGTAGTGCTGGACTGAATAGATGGAGTCTCCCTGTAAAAGAGGCCTGAGCTAATTAATCCGTGTTATGGGCCAGAGCAAATCCTCCTTACCCCACACCGGATGTGGAGTGAGGGGCTTGGTGGATTTCAGTGAACACTTAAAAGCAAGGAAAAGGGCAAGGGAAAAGGGTCTGTCTTCTGCAAAAATCATCCCCTTTCATTTCACCTAAGTGAATATGCAGGCTAAAAGGGTAAGTTTCATTCAGCAACTTCCAGTATTAACTTTATATTAATGTTGCATTTTGCTAGGAAAAATTGCATCTCCTGGACTCAAAGGGGGAAAAAACCTTTCTAATTATTTTATATTCTTAGTGAAAAATGGCATAAAGGATCTGATTTCCTCAAAAGCCCCTTTTGCTTTATTTTCTGTAACACTGTATATCCTTTTGTAACTCTGTTTTAGTCCTGATAATTGGGATGTGAAAAGTGACTCTAACTGCAATGGCATATGGGTAAGTAAATGAAGTTGCAACTTACACTTCCCTCCTGATTGCTGCTTCTCTTTTTACCACCTTTTGAATCAGTCTGCAAATGTTTCTTTTTTATTTATTCTGGTCTATTAACTGATTTGAAATACTCCTATTTATTTACTGCCTTTGATATTCCAAGTAATAAAACTGTGTTTATTAAAAACTAAGGAAACATAGGGGAAGCAGTTACAAACGAAGCTTGTTTATTGACGCTTATGATTATTTAAATTATAGCTATTATAATTAATTTAAATGTACATATACTTATTAAAATAATGTAATGGAAAGCATCATTATTATGATGCAGTGCTTCCTGCGGGCAAACATTCAAGAAGAACTAAATTCTCAGCCTCATTTTTGCACTGCCATTTTTCAGGCACTAGATATATACTATCATCTGCCCCTTCCCTCCTCCAACAGGGCGTGGATCCAAAAGACGGAATTCCCTATGAGGAGAAATTCTGCAAAGGTAAATCTTTACAGTCAACACAAGAAACAATGTGTCTTTTGTATTCATTTCATAAATATTTTAATATTTTCATGGCCATTGCCAGTGTAGGGGAAAGACAACGGGCTTTACAACTTCATGAGAATGGCAAAATGGCAAAATCTTGTTTTTTTTTTTTTTAATCTTGACGATGGGCAAAAATGAAATGTGAAAAGCACAGGCTGCTGGTAATTTCCTGTTAAAAGCCAGCTCAGTTATTAATTCGAAATACATAGATCAGGGACAGCAGCAAATGGAGATGTCACCTCTGCATCTCCTATGGTGCCTGAAGCCTAACCCAGAGGAATGGCCCTGGGGTTCAGGAGAGCAGTTTAACGTCTGCGTTTGTCCAGTTTGACCCGTTGCAATACCGGGTCAATGCAAATACTGGCAATCATGCTAATACTTTTCCAGAGAAGGCCTTAAAGAGGTGAAGTGATGGCATCAGCTGATCTCCCCGACAGCAGCGTGGGTGCCTGTGTATACACACATGCACAAATAACACCCTTACTAAACAGCCATGACTACAGCTGCTGCTCACCTTGCCTTACATTTAAATCAGCATCCTGGGGATGAACCATTGCCTGGCAAGACTTTGCAACATTTTTAGATGAAAGGCAACCTACAAATGCTAAGTAACATTAATTATAAACCAGCCAGATTGTTCTAGCAGAAATATTCGTATGAGTAGCACATCCACCATCCAGTTCTGTTATAAGGAGCTTTGAGCAATTTCCTGAGTAATCCGATTTCCCTAAATGTTTAAGTACTTTTTAATGCATATTCTATGGGTAGTAAAAATAAATGTTGGCTGCACAGCAGAGCCTCTGCCGAAATAACACATCCATTCTTGAATACAACCAGGATTTTTTCTGATTACAAGACCTCTCCCTGTTTTTCATGCCCAGTACCTGGTTGTTTCTCTAGAGTTGTTGGCACACGTCTGTTAGTCAGTTTTTGCTGCAGATGGAGCGAAAATCCCACTGCAGAGACTGAACATTTCAGCCACGTGAAGGGTGGCATAGCCAGTCACCCCGTGGCTCCATCAGCTGCCATTGCTGTTGCTGTATAAGGGTTGCTCTCCATCCTCTGTTTCGGTTTGCTCTTTCTGCTCATGCGACTAATAAAATGCATTAATTAGGTGCTGACTCGCAAGGGGTCGTGCTGTTGGGAGACTCAGCTGGTGCTCACTTCCACATCCCTCCTGAGTGGATGACTGTCACGCAGATGTCAGCGGTGAGAAATCGTGTTCGGGTTGCTGAAACCGTTCCGCCATGGGTTGCCATTTGCTTTCTCCCCTGTGCTGCAGGTTGCCAAAGGGGAACAAGTGCAAAATGCCTCATTGCACTGGAATTTATAGTCACGGTCTCACGTGTGTCAGTGCCCTCCCGCAGCTGCTCTTCTAAAGATAAAAAGGCATAGCCCTGCGCTACCGCTACTCCTCCGACATCTGTGCAATTGAGTCAGGGAAGAGATTGGCTTTGGTGGCCCAGTGCTGTGCCAGAGACATAAACCAGGACATTTGGCTTTCCACGCCTGTGCCTGCGGCTCAGGGAGACCCGTGCTGTATGTGGGATCAGTCTTGCCATTAGCGGGCTTGTTGGTATGGCTCCTTGCTCTGCTAGTGTTGCAGAAGTGACCCTGCTGACAGTCCAGGAACTTCTGTTTTAGGCATCTGGCTTTGGAATGACATGTCCTGGATTGTTTTCCCTCATCTGTGGCGTATGTGAAATAGGTCTAGTAACTCCAGTGCTCAGGCTCTGAGGCTTGTTGAACAAATAGGTTCTGCAGGTGTTCGAGGATCATCCAAGGGTTTATAATGGACTTGTCCTAAAGGGAAGAGTTTCTGTAGTGTCCGTAAAATATCACTACCACACTGATGTCTATCTTTGGGCAGTATCCCAGCATTTCCCATTTTCAAACAACAACAAAATGCCCCTGACTGTGAATTATGCTGAGCCTCAGCTGTTGCAGTTCACTGGTGTGGAATGAAATAATTGAGGGGAAAAGATCATTCCAGCCAACTGCAATTGGGGGGTGGAGATGAGATAAACGTGTGGGTATGCTCCTGTCCTTCGCTGTTGTTTACTGGTGTGGAATGAAATAATTGAGGGGAAAAGATCATTCCAGCCAACTGCAATTGGGGGGTGGAGATAAATGTGTGGGTATGCTCCTGTCCTTCACTGTTGTTTCCTATCCTGAGCCAGTGTCTCTCCCTAGCCAGGGAGGACTGTGCATTCTCCTTCTCTGCACAAGGGTCTGTTGCATGGGGGTGAGCAGATAGATCGTTATTGCCTGTGTTCGCTGGTGAAAACCTGCTACTCCTCCACTGGCTTCTGTAGAAGAAGGATATGGACATTTTCTGGAGAACAATCTTATGTCAAAATGTCGGTAGTTACAGCACTGTTGGAGGTCTCAGAGTTTTGTGTATTTTCCCACTTTTGTTCCCAGAGCTGAGCTGATTCAAATGTTGCAGATTAGCAGTTGTTTTTCTTTGTTAAACGTTTATGAGCAACGATTAGACAAATGACACTGATGACAGAGTTAATGATGAGCATAATAAATTAGCGCTAATGATAATTGAGATTATCTTGTCTAATAAAGATGGTAATAATACTGATGGTGATGATGATTCTGGCAGTAACGCTGGTAGCAGAGCCTTGTAGGCAAGAATAGTTTTAGACTATGTCAGCATTTTATTATCACTGTAATGAAGGTTTAGAAAGCATTTCTCTTGCTTGAAGCTTGCTGGTCCACTAGCTGGATGGGTCGAGGGCTGGTAACGGCATGCAGAGGCAGAAGCTTTAAGGTCGGGAGCTGGAGTGCAGATAATACAGTGAGTTTTGATGGCACCTTGTTACTGTCTGATGGGCGTAGAGCAACTTGCATGGGAAGGGAACTGGTGCTCTCTGTGTAAGACCCAACAAATATACGCTTTCAGTGCTCAACTCCGTCTGGCCAGCGTGTGGGGAAGATCAAGGACTGGTTGGAAAGGGAGAAGTGGGCTGCTTTCCTTTGCAGAAAGGGTGACTTCAGGTTAGAGCTGCTGCCCTGTACTGGGGCAAGGAGGGCAAAGAGGGATGTGTTCACTTGCTGGCCTTTCGTAGTCACTCCACTCACAGTACATAAAATAAAAAGAGTATGAGTAAGTAAAAAAGAAGCCTGGACTTCACACACAGATCCAGAGCCACCGCAAGCCATTCCCAGGAGAGATGTCTCTCATGCACCAGTACAAGGCACCAGGGCTGGCGTCTGTTCTGAGCCCAGTAAGAAAGGGACGCATTAAGATATTGCTTAAAATACCACTTATTGGAGCTAGCAGAAGAAAGTAAAAGAGGGTAGTATAGATAACCTTACTTCCCTTCAGACGCTGGACACCCCAAGCTGGGCAGCATCAGACAAACCTCTGACAGGGGTACGGCATGGTATGTTGGTAACGTAGAGGAACTTGGAAAAGTCAGTTAGAGCTACTCAGGACAGAACAGGGCTGGGCTAATTACCTTGCAGGAAATGCAGCCCTCCTACAGCTAGCTGAGCTCTACGGTAGTGCACTGCACAGCTGCCCAGGTGTCTAGGGTACGTGAGATTCGGCATAGGAAAGAACAGGTTCTTTTCTACGACTATTTGCAAGCTTTCCTACTGACCTGGCAAAAATACAGCAGTTAAATACTAATGCAGAGATAGAGAGAGTTCAGTCGTATAAAAAAACTAGTATCTATGATTAAACTCTAGCAATAGTAAAAAGTTATTTAATTTGCAGCTCACCTTAAGTAGGAAAGGTGTCGCCTGAGCTCAAAAGCGCTAGCAAAAAAAATACTGAGCTAATTTAAACTTTGTCACTGCCTCTTCCTCTTGCTTGTCCTCTGTATCTTGCTTTCTGTGTGTGGAATAGCAGTAACAGCAATTTAGCTGCCTCAGAGTTGTGAAGATGCAGTACTGTTGTCTCTTGTATAGTATTAAATACCACTGGCAAATATCCTTCATCTGTAGGTTTAATTAACAAATTAACCGGCTTCAATCCTTTTTCAGTGCAAGGCCTTCCTCAAGGAGAATTTCTTAGCACATCCAGGGGTAGTTTTTTCACCAGAGAGAGTGCAGAAAGTCTATGTCCTAATCTCACAGAAAATATCCTTAATCTGGGACCACAGCAAGATTTTGAAGTTAGGGCTCTGAGAGCCTCGTGTACGCTGTTCCCCCGTGCTGTCAAACTCAAGACACTTCACTTTGACTCTGTCAAAATTTCTTTGATAAGACGCATGGAAAAAATAGTTTATCAAATGGTTTTCGCTACAGTCAATACTAGAGTCAGTTCAAAGCTTTAATTTCCATTTCAATGGAATCTCAACCCTCTACATGGAATTCCAAATAGGACTTCTCCCCCCATCCTCATTTTTATCATGTGTACAAGGAAAAAGT